TGTCTTCCGTGTGTGATGCAACTCACCCTGTGTCAGGGGTGACATTGTCTTATAAGAGAGTGTCAAGTGCGCGTTTGCCTGTAGCCTGATTGACGCATTAGGGCAACCGCGACCAGTGGCTGGCGCGAGCAAGCGCATGCATCTGTGTCCTCCCCAGAGGCTAAGGTCATCTCGCGTGGACAGTCATCGCCTGTGTGCGGTCAGAGCTAACAAAAAAAGACACTTGGCTAGGCTCGACGCCTCAGGAAAGCCTCCAAATGTTGCTAGCACTTGGTCAGGCTAACGTCCTAACAGGACCCATCTACGAAAGTCAACCTATCCGTCAAAAGCTTGTAAATCCTACCAATGGTAGGCAAGGAATTGCCTCGCAGGCCACACACAGAACGACATGCAAAGATTTGTGGTAAACCACATACCTTAGTTCACCGAGGACATCCACGCGCTTGTCTGGTTGGCTCAAGTGACTGAAGAGGTTCACACGGACGGGTTCCTGCGGTCGAGGTTGGAGGTTTTTCCTGTGCAGTTGTTTAATCGACTTCTTCAGGTGTGCTGGATCGTCCATTCGCATAACACCCAGCGCATGACCCGGTATCTTTGACTTGGTCGCAGCTGCTGCTGCTGCTGCTGTCGCAACGGCCGAAGGGGGTTCCTGGCCGTCCAGAGCTGCAAGAGGATACCCATTAGGCAGTAAATTACAATAAAAACCAAGGTAGGGAAAACATATCGAGAAAATAGTACAAGGGTATTTTCACAGTAGCATTCCTGTACAGTGGGCCGGAATCGGTTTACTCGATTTGAGATAAAAGGAGGTAGCATTTCAATGAAATTTATATGCGCGAACTCTTCGAATGGGATTTGACAGAAGCCCTTAGTGCGCGCGCGATTGCACTGTAACAGTTTTAAGTACTGCGCATACATCGAATACCACCGAAGTAAAATTGTGCAGGGGATAAATTGATCACACAGAACTATCCAACATGCCCAAGATCAAAGAAGTGGTTTGGAGATATCCTCCAAGGGGATTTTGGACGTAGAACCCGCACCGCGGAAAGACTTATCTGGCACCAGGCGGTATCCAAAATAATACGCCGTACGATTCATAAGTGTCTATAAATTTTGCAGGTTGATTCCACTTGTTTAGATGTACAGTCAAGTCTAAGCATCATACATGCAGCATCGCCGATTACAATGGTTTGGCCATGTCCTGTGCAAGCTATCGACGGACCTCTGCAGATTGGTCGTGAACCCCTCTCGTAGGGCAAACCAGACGTACCGACATGACGGTCAACTGAAGACGTGACTCAGCACCGTTAAGTCGGACGTCGAACGTATGGGCCTAGTAACCATTTATGGCTTGCGACAATGGAACAAGCACTGAGTTGACATCTGCGAGGAGCTCGCTTCTGATTGCCGCCAATGGGCCGCCGCAATCAGTAACATCCGTGAAGCCGATTCATCCAACAACAGGAGCTAATCGGATCAAGT